GTTTGGTAGCCAGAATCCCGTTAATTCTGTTCTACGGCGGGAACCTAATTCAGGCCACGCCTTATATCCTGATACGCGCAACTTACAAGTAATAATTTTCCATTGTAATGCCTCAGGCAACAATAATCAGATAAAGCCGTTTCTAAGTTGGCCACATCATTCCTCCACTTTGTGCAGTATGATATCAGACCAGTGTACAAACTAGTCCGAGTGTATTTTTCGGGCCATTACACGCGCCCAGCCGGCTTAAGGAGTTTTTGGGGGGATAGCCGAGGAAGCGGTGTCAAGTGCCTTAAATTCGCTTGGGAGAGTGATTTGGGCGTCGTACCTAATGTGTTTTTTTGTTTTAAGCTTTGAAAAAAGGTAAACTTTTTAAAGTGAAAAGGAGACATTTAGGAGATTATGAAAATCTCGGAAAAAAAGTAAAGACTTTGAAGTTTAAATTTAAAGAACAATTTAAAGTTATTCCGCCCCCTTAGCCGCTAGAATTCGCAAATAAGGGAGGACGGACCGCCTGAAAATCGCAACCTTTTATTCTTCTTCCCGAATTTCGGCTCTGTGCGCGTCGTTTTCTCCTTCCCTTCGGTTAAAGTCTTCATGCACTGAGTGTGTTTAGTGCGAATCCTTTTGTCTTTTTTGACAAGTTCCTTGTACTTTTACAGTGTTACGCGTTATTGTGTACAGTAGTTACTATATTCATAGTTATTTACGGTTGCGACTTGGTGAAAACGTTACAATATAGCGATTACGATGTCCTTGCTTTCCTTTTTCCCCACGGGTTTATTTTGGAAATTTTTCAAAATTAGGTAACTATTAATGTATGTGGGTTTTGTTTTCATGCAAATAGCCAAAAGAGTAGTCCACCTATCAGACGGCGGCAAAATAGCTGACAAGCTGAACACCCGCAGTGTGCGGCAAAATAGCCAACAAGCTAAGTGGCCGCAGATACTGCGGCAAAATAGCAAAAGGCTATTTTGCCGCAAAAACTGCGGCAAAATAGTCACTCCGATTTTTCTTCACATTAGTTGTTTTGCCGCAGTCTCCAACGAAGAACAGCCTTCCCGCCTACTGTTTCTTTACAGCAGTCTAAGTCTGTTAATCCAACTGAAAAATTTTAATTTCGCAACCGCGTTTTCGACATACAGACTAGATATTTCGTCTTGCTGAACTCGGCATTACAGCCATTCACAATTTGACGGCAAACAGAGCTATACTTCTTTTCAGTTTTGTTTACGGAACAATCTTAAAATAATTATTGTTCAACCAAGTCGGTACTCTAAGACAAATTGTCAACTTAAATTGTATTTGTTTGCTGTGGCAAAAATAAAGAGGGTGGGGATCGAGGTGAACGCAAGTTGGCAGTCTTGTCAAGCTTATCGGGTAAGAATGGCGCTTATAGAAAAAACAGTAAGTCGTGAACTGAACACAGTTAAGTCGTGAACTGATGAAAGTATACAGAGAACTTGTGCTGTCTTATGCGCAGATGCGCCCGCCGACGACAAACATCCAGAATAAAAGAACATTCATAATTGTTGTTGTTGTACAGACACTCCTAACCCCGCCATTTTTGCCACTTTTTGTTAATTTTTTAAATCGAATTTCGCCCAATGGCTTATTGATAGTGAACTGGTTGTTCATTGGACGATATGGGGAAAGCTGTCGAACATGATCCGCTAACTAATACTATGTTGTTAATCGTATACAAGGCGATGATTTGGGGTTTCGAAAATAGTGAGTAAGCGGACACCATGTATTTGTAAATGGCAATGATAATATGAATGTATTTAATGAATGAATGAGAACAAGGAAACACCCAAAATTACATAAAGCTCTAAATTCATGGCGTAATATAGGGGGTGTCAACGCGCAATTTTTTGGAATTTTGGAATTTGACTCCCCCATCTTTCCAAAAGTTTTTGCGCGAGGCAGAATTTTTCGATTTTAGGGGTGTTTGACATCCTTGTTAGTTTTCTTACATATAGACTGGTAAAATTAAAACTGTCCCCCCTGTCAATTTTCGGGTGTTTTCCGGAAAAAAATGGTCCTTGTCAAAGTTTGATACCCCTCTTGCCAACGATATTACGCCCGTTCCGGCGGCCGGCGGGCGGGCTCTTATCATGCAGCTTAATTCACAATTTCAGCATACTTGCGTACCTACGTATAAGATCATGAAAACATAACGTATGATTATGTTTAGTAAGGAAATCTCGGCATACGGCCGTTTTAAAAGCAATTCGATCCTTATTACGAAAGCATTATTGTATTAATTGCAGACTCTGATTTTCGAATATTACCGCTTATTTATTTGTGAATTCGACTGTGAAAGGGTTATCTTTCCGAATTATAGCACGAGAAAATTGTTGCAGAATCTATACAAACACGGTTTCGGACTTCACGCGATTTAAATATTTAGGTAATAGAGATTAGATAGGGCTAATAAGCAGGTTGCGTTTTTAAAGTCGTTACGATTAACAGCCCAAATAACGACAATTTTTAGGTTATTAGTTCATGGCTTCGTAAATTCGAAAAAAAGATTGCGTTATAAACTTAGCAGTTAATTCCTTCAGAAATCGGAACGAGTTTTCTTGGTTCAAACATTTTTCCATAAATTTTTGTACCGATAGCATTTAGCAACAATACAATCTGCAGCATAAAAATTAATTTATAAATTTTGTTAATAATAAAATAACATGCACAAATGGGTTCAATTTTTACCCAGCCGCAAACACGGTTATTTCATTTCGGACTGTATGCGCGTCGCTTGCTGAATGTACATGATCGGTAACACGCTAGAGTTCTTATTATTACGTTAGGGTGCACTGGCATTCGGTAAGCCGTAAGGAGATAGGTTAACGCTTGTAACTGTATATAATTTTTAAATTCAATAATTTAAGGCGTCATCTGTGGAAAAAAAATCATTTTGAATACAACTGCCAAAAAGACAAAAGGCAGCAGTACAACGGTCGACTGCCATTTTCAAAAATGCGAGTCGAGTGGGCTACTCAAGATTGAATGCCCAGGCAGTAAGCCACTGGGCGGCGATTGCCCCCGTCGTTAATTCTATCGTCAATCGTACGCCTTCGTCATACCCCAACCTGCTTATTAATATGAAAATAACTAATAGCGCCAAATAAGAAACTGCAAAACGTACACCTGGGTCGGAGCACCATGGTCCGGACGTTTTGCTTGGTTACACGCATGCACTAATTTTAGATTCCTCGATACACAAACTAAAAGGAATGTTCGAATTACTTTGGTGATTAATATCAGAGTATTCCGTCACCGGTATATCTGTAACGGCAAAATATTTCAAGGAACTACTGAAATCGTGAATAGATTGGAAGAGACTGCAAAGCTACGTAATGAACAGGGATAAAAGTAGCATGTAAATTAATCCAGACTAACCGCAATCAATTGGCTCTTTTTGTTAACCATTTTTTAGATAATCAAAGTGACAACTGGTCACTGGGGAATGAAAATGCACAAAAATAACTTTAATGACCAATGGCGTCCAACCAAGGCATGTTCGAATTACTTTGGGGGAAATAATCTGAAATATACCGTCAAAATGCACCGATGGGGAAATCGATCCCCGACTAGCAACTGTAAGCCGCAAGATCCGCTTAGACAATTTGGCTGCGCCACGGCGCAAAGGCTTGAAAATCTTTTTGAAGACCTTCCTGCTGTAAGGTGGTGTCACAAATTAGGCGCCACACTTTAAGCTGTTGTAAATAAGTTTTCTGCACTCTTGAGCAGAGGCCAGAGGGCGTCGATGCTGCACTGTTTATGGCGGCAAGCCGCTGCTTTGAAACATTGCAGGTAGGGCAAAGAAACCGCCGCATTACATATACTTGTTCCGGTTAAATACAGTGCTGCTAATGCGCTGATACCGTACGGCCTACGGTACGGCTGTTTAACAGTATAAAGTACATGAAGTTCTTTTCCATTACTTGGGACCTTTTCTGCTTGCGTTTCACAGCACTTGTAGAGAATGCATAATACTACGAACAAAAAAATTAAAAACTTTCGCCGGTCTGGTATCAGTACTGATTCTGTTGAGTTCGGAGAACTTGACGGTGAGCAAGCGGATGGTACAGCAGCCTAACCTGCTGTCACAGCAGTGCCAGGAACAGGTCGTTTGCGCTAAGTTGCATGACCTTTATTTTTAACCTATCTTGCATTAAAGCAGCGAGGTGCTGTTACCCTACTTATCAACCTCCCGTAATAAGCGAATCGCCGTATTCTTGTTTGAATACTTAAGGGATTTGGCCCGGTACATGGCACCAAATTTGAATACATCCATGGCAACTTTCGCTGTCGCGCGCTCCCAAAACATTTTTTGCATTGCTTTATGATATTTTGGAGCCAAAGGATTCGTATACATAGGCGAAGAAACCGTTTGTGCGCGCAACATCCGGTTCGGGAGATATTAATATAATAGAATTCCAAAAGTTTAAATGCGCGGAGGTGCACCAAAAGTTTCATTATGAACCGATGCTCTTCAGATTTTGCACGAAAATGCACATTACTTTGAAGATCGTTTTGGTACCAAAGCAATCCTGTACCATTTTTTCAAATTTTAAGTTAGTTTTTAAAAATTTTGAAATCCATTTTAAAATTTGAAAAGATGGTAGAGAGCTGGTTCGGTACCAAAACGATCTTTATAGTAATGTGTTTTCGTGCAAAATTTGAAGAGCATCGGTTCATAATGAGATTTTTGGTACACCTCCGCGCGTTTAAACTTTTTGGAATTCTATTACATGAATATCTACCGAACCGGATGTTGCGCGCATAAACGGTTTCTTCGCTTACGTATACGAATCCTTTGGCTACAAAATATCATAAAGCAATGCAAAAAAGTGTTTGGGAGAGCGCGACAGCGAAAGTTGCCGTCGTTGTACCCGAATTTGGTACAGTACTATGTACCAGGCCAAATCCCTTAAGGCACTCAAACCCCGAAATAAGCGCACCTCCCGCACCTAGTTTTCGTTTCTACTTACGGCTGTTTGGCGTCAGCGAAATTGTATCCTTAGTAGAGGTGGCATTCTCTGGTGGATACGTTTCTGGATGCACTTCCATATGTTTCTCAATCTTTCCGAAAGCCGCTCGAGTCACTGGAATATTAAATTCACATCCAGGAAACAAGCACTTCGCTTTTAAAATCGGCGTCCCCGTTTCGCATAAATGGTTAGCGGGAGGTATAAATTTTGACGTCTTGTCGAAGGAGTCATACGATGTTGGACACGTAAAATCATATTGTAGGACGTATTTTTCACACGAACATTGTGATTTAATGACAAAGAAAGCAGGAATGGCCATCTTGTTCGAGATTGTTTTTTGCATTGTTCGCGTAGGCTTAAAGTCAGGAAGTGGTTCTTCTGACTGAAACGGATACGTTTCGGCAGTACCCGCTTCTGTACTGCCGGCTCCTGCAAAGAAATGCATACGTAATGTTTTATAGAAGTATCGAAAACTGGTGACTTTGCAAGTTCAGGGAGATATCATTAAAAGTATCGTGCAAAATAAAGTTTACGTACTGAGACTCTTCTTCCCGTACTTCGAATGCTGCCTTATATGGGCTCCCCTTATATTACTCTCCCTTATCTGGGCTCCCGAGCAATATGAGCTACCCTCTACATGGGCGGTTACGTTATTGCTCACCCTTTCGCAGCTGTTATCAGTGTTATGACTGACTGAAAATTTTGATTATTTAAAATACTTATTTTGCCAGTACTTTTGTAGCATTTTTTAGTTTGTTCATTGGCAAATCCGGTTGAAATTAATGTAAAATATATATAAATAATATATATAAATATAATTCGGATGTGAAATTTCGGAATTCTTTGGTGTGCTCACTGGTAAATCGGACTGAAAGAAGTAGAAAAGAGTTCTGCTACAAATCTGATAAATTTAATTTGACGGGTATTGCTAACTAGCCGGGAGCCCAGATAAGGGAGAGTAATATAAGGGGAGCCCATATAAGGCAGCATTCGAAGTATTCATTTAAGGTGATGGCCTTGCGGACGACCCATTCCGATATACATGTATTTACAAAAGTTTACTGTGAGCCGTCGATCATTATCGCCTTCTGTGTATGACACGCAAGTGTAGACTTTAGGGCAAGCGAGCGAGCATGTTAATTTTTTTGTTGTAAAAGACATCTTTGGTTAAGAGTAAGACAGTCACTAAGACTGCAACTGGAGTAACCAGTTAAGCCTACGTACGCATTTACAGCTGTTCTATATTCTGCGGACGAGTCACTAAACAGATTTCTGTCTTGCAAAAGCTGAGGACTGGCGGCCAATTCAACGACAGTTTGAACGCTGTTTGGTACAAGAAAAAGACTGCGTTTTAAGCAGAGCAGTTGCTTATTTCCAGGTGTCACATCGAGCAAAATATGTAATTATTTCGAGGTTTCTTATATTTCGCTCACTTCGTGTAAAAGGCTTCATATTTTTTTGCTCATCCACTTATCTTCAAATCTGAAGACCACAAAGTTATCACAGAAATCATCATCATAAATTCCTAATCTCTAAATTATCACAAATCTCTAAATCTCTCAGCCACCCCAAACATTAAGCCAGGAATTTACAATTATTTCATTAAAATATCTGGCGTGCACCAAGCTACCAGCCAGTCAAATGAATGTTACGTGCTTAAGCAGTATGGCGTGGCGCACCGTAGTACGGATTTGAGCGTTACCCGTAAATTTTGTAATGTTTGCTGTATTTATCTGTATGAATGCTACTGGCTTGTATATCGGGGACCGTATGATACGCACGAGGTCACCTGTTGCGCTCGTGAAACACATCCTGGTATGGTGAGACAATTAGTGCAACCAAGAACGGGACAAAAGTAACACCGAACGGTGACCAAACGCGCCAACCTTCTAGAAACATTGATAAATACACATAATTGAAGAAGTTTAAATTCACAAGCATCGCGAAGTTTTTCATCTGTCAACGCACAGGCAACACCTCAGCCAAATCCGCGGCCGTTTAATCAGCGGCAAAGTTTCACGACGAATTCGCCCAGGCCAGGCCTTGGTTAAGGTCCGTAGCGGTGGCAATTGCTGAGTTTTGTTTACTGTCCGTGTGGTCTGTTATGGTTGCAGCCGTTAGTTTCCGGGCCAGACAAACAATCCAGCTTATCCCGGCCACCGTATCCGCCGGTGCCGCTTAGGCACTCGCGGTTCGAGGTAGCCAATGCAATGTTGCCGCTAGTCAGATGTCGCAGCTGCCAGTCTATGTACCGTCGCGTCGAGTTTTGGGCGATATCCTCGTTTGGGTAGAGTCGCCATAGATGCAGTTGGAATTCTCGTGGTCACCCCAGCTGTTTCACGTGATTGCATTTCCCGCGAACCACTTTTCGAACAGGCTTTTGTGCCTGTCGATCTACCAGCCTTGATTTTATTACACCTGCCCGAGGTCTGATGAGAATTCGCCTGTTAAAGCTTGCATCCCTACTTGGTGGCGGACCGCCGTCACGTATTTTGACGTCCTACTATTTTTCTCGAAATATATCTTATGTGCGGTGCCGATCGGTTCCTCCGTCGCCACCAAAGTCGAAAGTGGGGCGCCAGTCCAAACTGATATCCAGCCAACTTGCGTGTAAGTGATCTCATAACTGTTCTGGTGTCTATGTCTTGTAAGGGTTCGAAGCCGACCGGCGCTCTGACTGGAACACATTGTGACGCAGGGTTTCACATTTTTTTCATTACTCAAATCACGCTGCTTTGCAGCAACACGATGACGTCGTGGTAAAGTTTTCGCGTTTTGCTTAAATCGGTAAATGCGTAAGGCGATTGCATCCAAGGCGTTTATCATCTTTCCTTTCCGCAAAGTTGACCGAGGAGTCTGTCTATCCATTCGTCGAATGTTCACACGCAATGTGGTTCCACAGAAAATTCGGTCAGATACCAGTCCACCCCCTCGTCTGAAAGGATGGATTTGACCTCACGCTATACCTTTGAACGGTTCACAACCGCCGTACACAATTATCATTGTCAAAAACGGACCCGCAACCGCACCCGGACATTTGGGAGTGTGACATTTCGCTGCAATTAAATTCGACGCTCGACTTTTCGCCGCACGACTTCTTAGATTGTCTAAGGTTATTCTTAGCTTATTTTTAGCTTGGTCTTGGGTTACTCTGAGCTACGCTCAAGTTATTCTTAGGTTTTTTAGGGTTTTCTTATGGTTCTTAGCCTTTGCGCTTTCTGGGTTTCGTCAACTGTTTCTTAGTTAGTTTCTTCTGAGTTCCTGAATTTTTTCTTAAAATTCCTGCCAGTTTCAATAAATAAGCCTGGTAAAAAATTTGTCTGCTAAAATGGACTTTTCGTCGAAATAGCCCTGCAGCGAAATGTATCGGCGTCGAAACGGCCGGCCGACGAAATGTCTCATGGTGTGATGTCTCAAGTCCTGCCGGTTAAATGTCCCGCGAAAAAGCGCCGCGAGGCGAGATGACCTTGCGGCGAAATGGCTGCGACCAGAACTCCTGCGACGAGTTGTCGGCGGCGAACTGTCGCGGTGCCACCAGCAACGGATCACTGTGGGCCCCTGTTTTGAATCCCGGTTAAATAAGTGAACCGAAACTTACTTTCGAAAAAGTTGACGAAAGTGTACAAAAACATTCCAAACATTGAAAAACAAAAACCACAAGCACCAAAGTCAGGGTGCAAAGAAATGCTCGACGATGAAATGAAACCTCATTAATCGAGGAGATTCTGCAGAGCCAACGGCCCAAGAATCAACCCCCAGGGACATTCCACCAGCATCCTGCGGTTTAACTAAGTTTATCCCGTCCGAATGGTTGGCTACTCCTCCGCAGTGTGCATAGGATCAGTGCGGAAGCTTACGGAGCGTGGCCTTTAATAGCAGCCCCAGAACGCGCCGGCGGATCTTAAGGGAAGTGGGCCGGTACATGATACTTAATTCGTGTACATGCACGAAAAGTTCACTTTCGTGCACTCCCAAACACATTTTTGTTTCGTTTTCTGCCATTCTGTAGCCGGATGATTTGTATACACTGGCGTGAACACCGTTTGTACGCGCAACATCCGGTTCGGAAGTTATGGCTGTTAGAAAATTCCAAAAAGTTTAAGGGATTTGGCCCGGTACATAGCACTAAATTCGTGTACGTTGACGGAAACTTTCGCTGTCGCGCACTCCCAAACGCCAAAAGTCTCAATATGGACCAATACCTTTCAAATTTTGCACGTAAGTGCACCTGGCCATGAAAATCGTTTTTACACCGATCGACTGTTCTAACATGTTTTTCGAATTTTAAAATGAATTTCAAAATTTGAAAAAAATCATGAAAGTCTGGATCGGTGTAAAAACAATCTTCATGACCGTGTGCATTTACGTGCAAAATTTGAAGGAGGTCGGTCCATAATGAGACTTTTGGTACACCGAAATACATTTAAACGTTTTGGAATAACTAACAGCCATAACTCCCAAACAGGATGTTGTGCGCACAAACGGTTTTCACTCCCGTGTATACAAATCATCTGGCTACAGAATGTCATAAAATAAAACAAAAATGTGTTTGGGTGTACGCGAAAGTGAAAGATTTCGTGAATGTACACCAATTTGATACCATGTACCGGCCCATTTCCCTTAACCTAGCGCAGGGTTTTTGTCAAACAGCCCGGCGACAGAACCGCAACCGTATCATCCGGAGTCAGAAGTGCGACCGGATATTCTGGTCAAGCAAAGTTTCACCAGAATGGCAGGTGCCAGTAACGCCTGGACTACTTGGTGCCGTTAATGCTATCTCGTTTTCCGGACCTTGTGGTAACGCAAGACGTTGCACCACGATATCTAAGGATGCCAGGACGACTGCTGAAACATTACTGCATCCGGAGCGGCGGAGTAAACCTTCAAAAAATGAAGGATCCAACAAAAAAAAAATTTGGACCGATGGGTCACCGCACGGTCATTTGCATTGGTGTTTTGAGTCCGGCCGGGTGAACTGGGTGGAACTGGTTGGATTTGTTAAACGATGGATTCGGTCTGACAGTCAGTGAGAGCACGAGTTTGAGCTGCTTGCGTTGGAGATGGCTGGGATTCCCGTCCTCTGTTCTGGAAGCCTGTCGACGGGCTCAGTCTCACCGTCTCACCATGCCTACAATGTATACGGATTGACAGCAGTCGGTTGCTTCAGGTAGCCAAGAAATTAATTGCTGGACCGCGGAGCCTCCAGGAATTTTTCCGGACAATTCGCATGGTCTGGAAAAGTGTGGTGAGACGGCGGCTCGGCCATGCACAGTTCAGATTGTTGCTGTCTGACTGGGGTTTGCTTCACGTTTAGGCGGTATTTTTCGTTGTGGGATCCACTGCGTTGAGAAATTTTACGACTGTGTCAGTGGTTTGCCGGAGATCTACCAGCTCGGTCTGCCGAGCCTCAAGCTGGTGAATCCGCTGACATGGTCCGTCAAGGTTCTGAAACTTTGTTTGACCTGAATGATTTCTGCGATTGGTCCTGCAGTCTGCCATTTTGGTGGTGCAGATTTAATTGTTCTGAAGCAGCTCTTGTTGTGACCGTAAAGGTTATTTTTATCGGTGCGGCACTTGTAACGCACCGGATTTTCGGCAAAAGATCCGCACCGGGTCTCGCAAAAGGGACCCCCCATACATTTATAAGGCCGTTTCGTGAAAAATGCCTAACTGGTTCGCCATCTGTCGTTTCCAAAAACGCTGAACCATGACCAAGCAAAATTTCTGGAGCGTTTCCTAAAAAAACGCATCCTCTATACATTTTTCATGGGGGATTCGTAAATATTGCCCGGATGGTTCCCCTTATGCAGATTCTCAAGCAGGCACAATCTGGACCGAGAAAAAGTTTTGGACCCGACCCAATTCCCGTACCAACCATACATTACCAAGGCGCGCTCATAGAAAATGCCCTGGTGGTTTCCCGCCGGTCAGATTCCCGAAAATGATCCACCTGGGCCAAGCAAAATTTCCGGACCGGGTCCTAAGAAACTCACCCTCCATACATTACTACGACGAGTACGTGAAAAATGTCCCGGTGGTTCCTTGCGTGTCGGTTCCCACTCAGACTGGTCCCCTGCGTGTACTGGGTCCAGTTTTACGGATTTATACGCATTTTCTACAACAGATCCGCCAAATTTAGCTCTTGAATTTTTGATTACGTTCTTGTCCCCCCGCACCCCCTGCTTATTGGGGCTCCGCCCTAAATCCCGTCCAGGGACTTCGTCCCTGGACCCCAGGGACCAAGTTCTCCAATTGTTGCACTGTAAATGAAAAATGCTCGCTCGCTTCATAATGGTTTAAATTATAGAAGTATATACAGTGCATTTTGTATACGTAAGGTCACACTAAACAGTCAAATTAAACTTGTTCAATGTTTTGTTAGAAAGCGATTGCAAAACGCTTTTGATTTGACCTCCATCCGCACCGGTAATGTAGAGAAAACGATAGTTGTTACATTTACGAAAATTTATTAAGGCGGACGTTTTTACGGTTACAAAGGACGGAAGTTCACACGAACGCTGGAAGAAGCTTGAAAGTACTGTATTCGCTCGAATTTTACGACACAGTTTCCTGGTTGGCTGGCTGTAAGTTAGTTACCTGGTTCCAAACTGAGCGACGCTGCACGTTGATTATGTTGCTGCCTCATCAGATTTCGATTGCGCATCCGAACTTGAGGTTTCTCCTGTTCCTGCTGTTCTTGCTGTTGCTCTGGTACCTGTACCTCCTGATGCTCCTGTACTTGTAATTCGGAGACTGAAAAAACGAGACTGTAATAATAAACAGCGCATCCCTGCACTTCCAGCATGGGTATGGAGTATGGACTATGGACTGCAGTGACTTTGCAGTACCCCGTAACCAACGTGGTGAAATTTGGAGAATAAACCACCTGATATTTCATACTAAGAAGGATGGTTGTAGTATTACTACGTAGTAGAGTCCTGCCCAAACTTGGCAGATAAGCCAGTGCTTGTGGCCGGCAGATCTACTGACCTGTTGGCGAACCCCGCAGGAAAGTGGTTTTCTTCCCACAGAATCATCCGAACTGCAGCCACAGTTCTCAGGACTCGACCCTATGCATTGCCTATGGGAACTCCAGTAGATCGGCCGAAGCGACGCAACAGTGATACTTGACACTTCAACGCAGCGTAAGTAGGCATCAATACCATGGCCAGGCCGCTGAATCAGATGCAGCTGCCTAGGCCTGTTGTACCGAAACTAGACTCAAAGAAGCGCGCGCTCTTTGCAAATGTGAAGCCAAATTTTTGCAGATAAGCACCTGTGCTGGCTTTGAATGCAGGCACCAGACTCAACCAAAGTTCTTGAATCCTAGCCTGAATTCTAATAAGACCATGGATCAAAATTTAATGCCCTGCCAGTGCTGTCTGGTGTCAGTAAGTGGCATGGCTGGAGGTGTCCCGTTGCATAGTACTAAATTCATGTAGCTCTACAAGGGCATTCCCTTCCACGCACTTAAATCATTTTAGGGCATTACTGTGCTTCGACAAATTCCTTATTCCGGCTTCCATTTGAAGTTTCTTACTTCGTGTTTTCTCATATTCCGGTCACTTTGAGTGTATTTTTTCATATTTCGGCCACCAGGCAGTTAAATTGCCCGGCCATCGCCCTACTCCAGGGGCTTCACTGTATTGTATACAGTGAAGATAGTCTGTATTGTATGAAATACAGTACAGCCCCTGGAGATCCGCGTTGGCCCGGCAAAAGGAAGTTCACAGAGACCATTAGTTTTTATAAAAACGACTTCTCTTATTAAATTGGACCGTACATATCAACAAATTTTTATGTAAGACAAAACACATAACAGAAACTCTGAACAGGTAGTATTCTAACGCCCACTTCCAGCGATTCTTTCTTTATTCATACAATACAATTTATTAAGAAGCTTTTTCACAAAAAAGACAGTTTTAACAGGCTATAACAAGAAACGTTCCTCTAATTTCTCATGATCCGGTATTGTGCCTACCACGCACATAGCGTCTCCTCCTTGAATTTGTATGGAGATCCGCTGCCGGAAAAATTCCTTCGCCCGTGGTTGGCCGGTAGTGCCCGCGACGAGGTGTCCGATTTTATCCACTAGCTTCTTAGTCCGTCGCCCAAAGGTGCGTATGTTTCGAAGGCAGCGGCGACAAAATTGTACCTTGGCTAAAGCCACGCATGTCTTGCGAGCTTTTTTGTTTCGACCAGTTCCGCTGCCGCACCGACATTGACGGATGTACGGTCAACATTAGAAGTTGCCAGAGTGTCAACACAGGCTACGTCTATTGCGAGTGGTTTACCACGTTCCTATGGGATAAGTGTAACGATATCCGGTCTTTTTTTACCCACTATGGCCAATCCTTTCGGTTCCACTCTGGCAAGAAAACCGCCCGTCGTTAACGCGCCAGCAAACTCCCTGCTGATGCCATTGTGTCTAGGTAGTCGTCCGGCTGATCGTTTGCACCGCATTCCATGTCTCCCGAACTCGTCCACCCATTCGCCGCATTTACATTCATGAGGAGTTACGATAGGACCACCTAATCGTAGAGCGACGCTTGTCTGAAAATCAATATTTCTAGCAGATTACCTAAGCAAGCAGCGGGTAATGTGTAAATCCAGTAACCGGATTCTGATGTTGACACCTTCAAGTGTGCGACTTCTGTGGCAGAGACACGAAGTGCTGAAAGATCAGAGAGGTCGCAAGGTCGCAGGAGTATCCCAGGCTTTTTGGATGCTGTGAATGGGTTCAGCCGGCACATCATTCATAAGCAACTTCCAGACCAGTGTTGCGGAAGTTGTATCGGTCGGTGGCAGTATCGGGCATAAATTAGAAATAAGCGGGCGCACAGAAGAAGCCGATGCCAAGTAGGCGGAGGGAGCTAGCTTCTCGATGCGTCGTATTCCTAAACCACCCAATCGAACAGGTAGTGATGTCTGCAGCCACGTAAGGTGATCCATTTTCACGTTAGTGATGGTCTCCACAACAGCGCAAAAAGTTTGATCTAGGGCGTATAATTCTTCCGAAAACTGCCACGCCAAGGAAGTGCGAAGGAGGTGAACAATTTTTGGTACACCAGGACAGTTTTTTAACAAAAACAGTGCTTGGTGTTTAGGAATTAGCGCAAGTCGTTCGCACAGGTAGTGATATTCATGTAGTGCGCCACGTGTGCGGCGCACCAGTGACCGGTGACCGAAATATGAAACCATGTACAGAAAGTGATCGGAATATTAGACAAAGCCAACTGCCATATTCCTGCTCCCGCCTAGTTGAAAATGCGCCGAATGATAAACCTCCCTGGTTAGCGACTGCAAGTTTTTTAGCTGCATTCGATCCAATTGTTTTGGAATTTTCCAATTGCTCGACGTAGCATCGTGCACATTACTAGATGCAAGTGTATCGTCTTCGTGTGATATGAGGGAACAACAACCGTAATCGTAGTTATCGTAATTATAAACAAAACTTCTCCTGGCATGTTTGAAATATTTGTATTCAACGACACCCAGACTTAAAAATGCGGAAAAGCGAAACGTAAAAAAACCTAAGAAACCTAAAAAAACCGAAAAAAATTAAGGGAAAGTAACGTTAGAAAACCAAAGAAAGCTCAGAAAGGCAAGGAAGAAAAAATTTGAGAGAGCTAAGAGATATCCAAAGAGATAAAAAAGCAGAAACAACCTAACACAAACTTAAGAAAACATTAATATCCTATGAAAATAAAAGAATAGACCATGAAATAATAGACATGCAGACTAGCGGTGAGGCGGGGACCTCATAGAAAACTCGAAACGAACGGCTGGATGTGTCACGTCACACGTTAACACTTCACACAATTCGTAGTATTCGTACTGCAGTTTGTGTATCTTTATATCTTTGTGTCTTTATCTCTATATTCATACAAGCTTACCGTTCAAAGCGTATTTTTCCTGGGTTTCTATGGATAAATCAACGCGTGGGCAGTTTAAGTCAAGCTTAGTCTCGAAAAATTCCTGATTTTCCATAGGTGTGCCTTCTGAATTTCGATTTTTTTAAGAAGGCGTTGGTCAGAAATCATTTCCAAGTGTTCTTAAGTATAGAAAATGAGTAAGTGCAGAGACGTTCTCAGAGTACTGGTACTTTATTCCTACGTGCAAGACATGTAACTGTTACCACGGAGCTAGCACTTACGGTAAAATTAACAATTAGGGTAATCAAGTAAAACTTTAAATAAAAGTTACAGTCTTAAACCTTTTGGAGTCATACAAGCTTACCATACAAGCTTACCCTTCAAAACGTATTTTTCCTGGGTTTTTATGGATAAATCGAGGCGTGGTCAGTGTAAGTCAAGCTTAATCTTGAAAAATTCCTATTTTTCCATGGGTGTGCCTTCTGAATTTTGATTTCGTTTAGAAAGCGTTGGTCAGAAGACATTTCGACAGGTTCTTAAGTATAGAAAATGGAGTAACATTATAATGACGTTTTTTAGATACGGTGGTAGTGTGGTACTACAGTATGTATTGTACATTCCTACGAGCAAAACGAATTGTTACCACGGATGCAGCCTTCAACGCACTAATGCAAAAGCAATCAGACTGCACGAACCATTTCATTTAATGGAAAAAAAAGTAAAAATATAACCTGTGGTCATAGGATCAAGGAAAAAACGAGGAATGGTCAAATATTAGTTTCCGTCCAAGATGGTTAATTTGCCGAGCGCGGAGCGCGAGGCATACCTTGTATTCATACAATCTTACCGACCAAAACGTATTCATGCACCGTTTTTATAGACTCGTCAGCGCGTGGTCAGTTTTAGTCCAGCTTGGTCTTAAAAAATTCCAAATTTTCCGTAAATTTGCCAATAAATTTTTGTTTTTTTTTATTAACCAGTGGTCAGAAGATGGTTTCACCAGGCCTTAAGTATAGGAACGTAAAGAGCACTTCAACAAGTATTCACTGCACAGCAATAAAAAGTACTAAACATAATGACTGTAACCACGGAGACTATAGCGGATGCATAAATACCTACTTGCTTTTTAGTGTAGATGATATAAAACTGAAGCATGTCATAGTAGTAAATTACGTGATTTACGTAATTACGTGCCTGAATAGTAAATTATGTAATTTGGTAACCGTCCATAAAAGGTAAAGTACAGCGCCCCTAATGTCTCTTATACAGTATCTGTAACGTCAAAACGTAAAACGTATCAGAGGATTAGAACGTCAGCGAGTAACGTAAAACGTATCAGAAGATTAGAACGTAAGAATATCAGAAGTCAGAACGCGAAAACTTAAAAACGTTTGAACGTCCAAACGTCAGAAATTCATAAAGTCAAAACACAAAACGTCAGAACGGGAAAAATAAAAACGTCAGAACAGCAGATTGTCAGAACGCAAAAAATTAAGAGCGTTAGATAGTCAGAAATTCAGAAAGCAAGGTTATCGGAACGTGAGAAACCGAAAACCTTAGAACGTCGAAAAGTTAGAACATCAGAATGTCAGAACGACAGAATATCAGAACGTCAGAACGTGGAAAATCAAAAACGTTAGAACGTTCAGAACATCAGAAAGTAAGGTTATTGTAAGGTATTAGAACGTGAAAAACTGAAAACGTTAGAACGTCAAAACGGCAGAACATCAGAACGTCAAAGCGTAAAAATCAAAAACGTCAGAAGGTCAGAGATTCACAACGTCAGAACATGAGAACGACAGAATATCAGATTGTCAGAACGTGAAAAATCAAGAACGTTAGAACGTCAGAACGTCGGAAAAGTCCGAACATCAGAAC